GTGCGTAGTGTAATGGTCCCCAGAGATTTCCATGTCTAATCCCCAGAACCTATGAATGTGTTGCTTTACATGGAGAAAGGGATTGTGCAGGTGTTATTAAAGTCAAGATCTTGAGAAGAGAAGATTGTCTTGGATTGTCTATATGGACTCAATTTAATGACATGCATTCTTAAAATAGGAGAACCTTTCCAGGCTGCGGTCAGAAAGAGCAATGTGACTACCACAGCCACCAGATGGACACATTACAAAAAGCTTTAATTGCTATCGTAACAAATTACAGACTCACTTGGAATATTAACAGGAAGGCAAGGACTGGCATCTCTAATACAGTTATTCAGCTAATAATGAGCAGTGCTGGCATTTGATTCCAAAATTTAGGAGAGAAAAACCAGCATCTCTGCAAGAGACCCATCTCCTTTTTACTGAGAGGCCTCATAATTGATAAGAAAGTACGAGAGATTATTGTAACTGGAAGACAAATAGAGCTAGAAACATTGAAGCATACAACAGACTGACATATTTCAGAGGAAAAGTGGGGGCGGGAAGAGATTAACCAAAGAACTTGTATGCATATATGCATAACCCATGGACACAGACAATAGTGGGATGAAGGCCTGGGAGAGGGAGGGAGCAGTGTGGAGGGGGTTAATGAGCATAAAAAAGGGGACATCTGTAATTCTTTCAACAATAAAGATACATTTTTTAAATCCTTCATTTCTAGAGGATAAAATTTCTTGACAAACTGATAAGATTAACATTATTTTTAAATATCTAAAAAGAAAAAAAATGAGCACAAAATGTGTACATAAATAGTCTGAAGACTTGAAAGCAGGTTGAGGGATGAGGTGTAAAATGAAGAGCAGGGAGCAATTTAGTACCAGGACATAGAACTCCGGGCCAAGATTTTAAGTTCCTAGAGCCATTTTGGAAAATACCCACATTAGTTACTATTAATTACTATACAATTAGCATTTCATTTTCATTTTAACACTGCAGCCAAGTTGTGGAGGGAGCTGAAATGCTTGCCAATGATGCTGTGTCTGTGGAGCTGGGAACCTTGCCATGAAGAGCACTGAGAGGGGATTTTGTTTGCGTGTCTCCTGAGGGTCTTGGGAAATAACCTAAGAGAAGCCAAACTCCAAAACCACAAACATGTTCACGCCCGTTTTCTCTGTGAGAGCCAGAATACAAACATTCCAATGTCCCACAAGTGTTTTGTTGACTTATTTTAAATCATTTTATGATGTGCTTGGCAAATAGAAATATAATTCCTGAGATGTAGAAATACCAAATGTTCATAATACTTTAACATAATACAAGATAATACAAATTCCATGTTGCAAAAAAATAAAAATATCTTAAAAATAAAAATAGTATTTTAATGATGGCAAGATTTCTTCTCAAAATTTAAAAATATTATTACTTCCCATGAAAAACACAAGTTATTACTATCAATATCAATATTCATGGAGTCCTTAATTTGTTAGGTAATTTGCATACATTGTCTCATTGAATTCAGTCCTTGTAATTAGTATGTAAGTATCATTGAAGTATTTAATCAATTTGCCCCATAGTAAAAGTAGCGCTATCCAATATACTAGAAAGTCTTAAAGAAAAAGTTGGCAATCAAATTGTTGTCAATCATATTACTTAATAATTTATAGTTACTTGAAATTGAGGATTTCTGGTTCTGAATTCTATTGGCATGGTGTAGTAGACAGAATTCATAGGTAACTTGTAAGATTCCCACCCCTGGGGTACACACCTTATATGATCCTCTACACTTAAGTGTGGCTAGATAGAACCTTTGAATATGATGGGCTAGTCACTCCCTTGTTTAGCTTATGTTAGGTTATATTATATGGCAAATGGTAATGGGTTAGTCACTCCCTTGACTATGCTATATAAGACTGGAGGGAGGTTGGAAGTCAGGAGATTAAAAGCTTGAGAGGCTATGGAGTGAGCCATGCTGAGATTGTTTTTGACCTACAGCCAGCCAGAGAACAGGAGCCTTAGTCCTCCAACCACAAGAAACTGAACTTAGCCAACAACATGACCTGAGAAGAGGACGCCAAGCACCCAGGGTTGCATGGATCAACCCTCACCCCATTCACCTGATGTTGAAGAAATACTGAGATACCCACATACACACACCAGGAGGTAGTCACTCTATCTCCCCACTGTTACACAGGAACATTAAAGTCATAGCACCCAAGACCTCAAAGGACAATAGAAGTTGTCCTTCAGCCAGCCAGACTGTGTGCATACCTCCTGCTTGCCACTGTGTTCTCAGAGGGTATTGCCTCCCCCACCCCACCCCAAGAAACTTTTCCTTGCTTAGACAAACTCATATCCAGCCAGGAAAAGGAGGCCAGCTCTATTGTTGCACGAAATCCATACCAAAAAAAAACACACCAAAAAGGCCCAATTCAGATTTCTGTCATAGCCCTTTTTTGCCATGTGGTCAGCTGCTGAAGCCAAAAACAACCTGAGGCACCTACACCCAGGTGCAATGAGCAGGTGCTGCTCTCCCACCGCGACCAAGACAAAGGCGCCTCTTCGGCTCTCCTGAGACCAGTGTCATGTCCGCTGACACCACTGCAGGCACTCTGGAACTCTCCTCTCACTGCTCCTACAATTCAGCATGACTCCTGTTCTGCACAAGGTTTTCTTAAATCCCACGTCCTGCCCAGCCCACACTCAGTCGCAGGGAAGGCCCTTCTTCCAAAGGCTCTCTGGCAGCAGGCTTTGTTCCTCACTTGGGGAATGGTTGTTAAAACTGAACAACGTGTGTCCTGGGGATTTCTATCATATTTCTGAACTTTGACTACATGGAAGCTGAGCTACTTATACACAGATTAACCACTACAAGTTGATGATTAGTGATGAAAATGCTAATGTTCTTGTTTCTCCCTAAAACTGTGGATGTAGAGTTCAACAGAAGACCCAGCCAATACTAGATTTGAAACAGACTGCAAACTTAATACGTTATTTCATGCTAAGCCTGTAATAGTTGCAGAACTCTGATAAGTGAATGTGGTTTTTGCATCTATCTTCCCAGGATCTGAAAAGTGTCTTACATAAAAGAGTGATCTTGAAGCAGATAGCCGAAGTGTTGCCATAAACACATAAAACTCCAACCTTTGCTTTTAATGAGCTAAGTTTTTTATTCCCATCTCTCAGAGAAAAAACTGCATGAAATGAGAAGACAGATCCAGCTCCATAACCAGCGGTGGGGTGATTTGAGAAGCTGAGTATCCAGATGTTTAGAGACCCACGTGTTTTCAGAGATTAGTGGGAACTGTGGTAGATAAAATGGATCTCTTGTCCCAGGACAAGGCACAGATCTTCTCCTTTGAAGCATTGCGTTATTCTATAGATCTGAAAAAGTAAATTCATATGTAAATACATAACACATTCATATAAAAGGAGACCTGGTTGGTGGTCACAGACTATTGTAAATTTCATGTTGCCTTTAACTCTGCTCTAGAACATCAGTTGATCAAATTTCAAGACTTGCTCCATTGATTCTTGATCTTAGAGGTCCTGAATGAAGCTTTGTGACGTAAGTCACAGGGACAAAGACATAGTGGGATATTAAACAAGTATGTGTGTTTTTCTTGATAAGATTGCAGAGGTGAGCTAAATGGTCAAATTACTTTTCCTTTTGGTTGGGCTGTATATAAATTCTGCTTGGTAACCACAGTATTTTTTGCTGCCATCTGGCCCTGGCTGGTTTGGCTCAGTGGATAGAGGGCCAGCCTGCGGACCGGAGGGTCCCGGGTTCGATTCTGGTCAAGGGCACATGCCTGGGTTGCATTCTTGATCACCCATATGGGGCGTGTAGGAGGCAGCCAATCAATGATTCTCATCATTGACATTTCTATCTTTTTCTCCCTCCCCCTTCCTCTCTGAAATCAATAAAAAAAAATTTTAAAAAAAGCTAGGCGACAATGTGTGGTTTTGATTAATAATAATTGATTTAAAATTATGTTTGGTAAACAAATTTTCTCAAAACCTGAAGTCCATGATGAGGTTGTAATAATGAATGGGGAATTGGTAAAGAAACACAGGTAACAGAGAAGAGACTTATGGCCAACCAGTCTTTGATGAATAATTTTACCAGGAATTCTCAATCACTTTTGGATTACTCTAGTTTGTCTCTAAATACAAATTAGCACCTTCTTTATCCATTCATCTATTGATGGGCACTTAGATTACTTCCATAGCTTTGTTATCCTATATAACAAGAGAGGGACATGCTAATTAGCCTGGGTATGCTAATTAGCCATGACCGGATATACTAATTAGTCATGACCAGTATGCAAATTGACCATCACTCCAACACAATAAGAGAGGGATATGTTAATTAGCCCTGATATGCTAATTAGCCATGGATGGTATGAAAATTGACCATCATTCCAACACACAAAGATGGCCGCGCCCATTTGGTCAAAGATGGCCACCACAAGATGGCCTGCAGGAGAGGGCAGTTGGGGGGGACCCAGGCCTGCAGGGGAAAGCAGTTAGGGGTGACCGGGCCTGCAGGGGAGGGCAGTTGGGGGGGGACCAGGCCAGCAGGGGAGGGCAGTTGGAGGCGACCCAGCTGGCTGGGGAGGTCAGTTAGGGGCAATCGGGCAGTCAGGAGAGGGCAGTTAGGGGTAACCAGGCCGGCAGGGGAGGGCAGTTAGGATAAATCAGCCAGCAGGGGAGCAGTTAGGCATCAATCAGGCTGGCAGGACTATGGTTAGAGGGTGATCAGGCCAACAAGGGAGGGCAGTTGGGGGTGACTTGGCCTGCAGGGGTAGACAGTTAGGGGCAATAAGGCTGGCAGGAGAGTGGTTAGGGGCAATCAGGCAGGCAGGCAGGTGAACGTTTGGGAGCCAGCAGTTCTGGATTGTGATCAGGCCTAAATGGGCAGTCGGACATCCCTCGAGGGGTCCCAGATTGGAGAGGGTGCAGGCTTAGCTAAGGGACACACACACACACACACACACACACACCCATGCACAAATTTCGTGCACCAGGCCTCTAGTTGTAAATAATGCTGCGAAGAACATAGGCATGCATGTATCTTGAATGACCCAGGGTTACAGGAAATTACATATAGGAATTCACAAAGATGGAGTCTACCCTTGAAGAATGTGACTTCCACTGCCTGTGTCAATTGAAAAAAAAAAATGTGTGTGTAAGTGGACCTGTATATTCACACCCAAGTTGTTCAAGGGTCAACTGTGCTTCAAAGGGAATCACTTGTTTACAAATACGGAGATCCAGAAAAAAGCACTGTGCTAGGTACTGGGGAGAAAACTGGGAACGAGGCAGGTCCTGTGCTGTGATATTCTGCCTGCCCTCAGACCCATTCTCTGCCCTGCTCTTGCCCTTGGGGGCTGATTCCCCAGCAAACACTTGGCCTCCATGGTTTCTGGATTCTGACTCGGGGGAGTCAATGAGTCACCAGCAGAAGGTCAGAGGGCAGCAGGAGAGAGAGGTCAGGGTGTTTCTCCCCGTCTTCCTCATCGCCTGCCCTGACGTGGCAGTCACTGTTTCTTCTGCCCATGGCCACGGCTCCTGTCAGACAGCCCCTCTGCTATGGCACCAGCTCCTGCTACATTCTGGTAACTCTCTCTTGCCCTTGACCTTGAGACCTAGGGGCAAACACAGTTTCCCACTGAAGTGAGACCTCAGATACTTTCTCACTGCTGTTGGAGTGACTAACTGCTGACACCTCTAAAAAGCCCTTAATTAAAGTTTCCTCAACTAAACTCTCGTTTGACGAAGTCTACTGTTGTCTGCTAGGATCCTGCCTCATGTAGGTCCTGCCCTCATTTTGTTCACCAGGCAAGTCAAGAAGCTGTGAGCACTCGGGGTGAGATGAACTGTGATGAAAATCCTAGGTTCTGGCCTACTTGGTTAGAAGTTCACCAACATAAGGAACAACGGGAAGAATATAAAGTGGAAGTTATAACAACCACCAAAGCAAACACTTAGGGGTCACTGAACTAAACCATTCTTTCGGCTTATGTTTATTTATTTAGAACTATTACAGGTAAAGACTGGTGTAGGGGAATTGGAGAATTTAACCTGGGAGAATGAGATCAATTCAGTGGGATTGAAAACTAATAAAAGTAAATTAAGAATTAGCAGGAGTCACTGTAGGGTTGTAAATACTCTCCAATAATCCCTCAGTTCATGAAGTGGGTTGTCAGCTAGAGGCTGATTTACATACTGAGTAACAGAGCATTTCCTCTACATTTTCTCTCCTTCCTAAAGCATTTCTGGGTCGAGCAGGACAATTTGGGGGGATATACCCTGAGTAGGGTGCACAGCTGGCTCCGCACTGCAGGGTTAGGTGTCTCCCTCAACGACAAAACTTTCAGAGGTGGCTTCATTTTCCTCAACTCTACTGGGAACAGGAAACAAGGCAGCAGGAAAAGTGCCCCAAGGCGCATGCTGCAGGGAGCAGGACTCTCCTGCTGCCTTCACTATGAACTGGCTCATGACACTTTGGCCTAGCTAGATACTGCCACCTGCTGCCCTTTCTAAGTCCTGAAGAGGAACCCAGTCCTCCTGGATCAAGAGCCTTTCATTTATGCATTTACTTCAGAAACACTATTGGACATCTACTCTTGGTAGCCTCTCTGCCAGCAGCTGGAGATAGAGGACCTGACTCATGAAGGAACAATCACGTATGCAGAATACTACAGTGTAACCTGCCCCACACAATGGCAGCATGATGCCAGGGTACTGAGAGAGCAGAGGGCACTGAGGTCAGATGAGTAGTCTTCTGGGGAGTAAGACTAAAGTAAATCCTAATGGATAGGTAGGAATTTGCTAAAATAAGGGGGATTGATGGGAGAGGAATAGCAAGAGAGAAAGCAAGAAAGAAAATGAAACCTGAACATGGTGGGTGCAGGGGGAAGGCAAGCAATGTTCGATGGGAGGTCAGCTGGCCCATCACAAGGGGCCTTTGATTGATGGTCATATCCCGGAGACAAAGTGGAGCCCTTAAATGATTTTTTAACTTGAGTGACATGATCAGATTTGTCCCATGATGCCTCAGCTGGGGACTGTAGAGGAGCTCATTCGGAGGGAAACAGGGCAAGAGCAGGGTACATGGAACTTCCCAAAGTTCTGAAGGAGGGTAATAGGATAGAAAAACTTCTTAAGTACTGAGAATTTTCCAAAGAATACAGAAAATTAAGTTAGACACACAGACTATTTTTTTTTGGTGAGTAATGAATAAACTTAAAACTCAGTAAATCTAAATAGAAGAATATAATGATCCCCAAAGTGTTACGAAGCTTGTCTCCAATGAACGTTGAAGTACTTAAGTTCATGGTATTTAGATCCTGAATCCTGTCTAGGTTTTCAGGGCAAACAAGGCAGTGAAAGACAAATCCCCTTCTTCTTAAGGAAAGGGGACAATAAGAAAGATTCCTGCTCTGATGGAAAGGAGAAGACCGCAGCAACAAGCCTGACCCCTGAGCACAGAGTGCACCTGTGCTTGGCAGGAATCCATCCTTTCAAGGGGGGCCCATGTCTCTCACTCCCACATGAGCAGGGGCCCAGGCAGAGCTGGTCCACAGTGCACAGGGCATGCCCTGTCCACCCTACACACCCTGTCCATGCTGGCACCGTGAGGTGTCTGGCTCTGAGGCCTGAGGTGAAAGAAGGGGAGTTGGTGCTGCTTTCGACTTTGCTCTCAAAGGGCTTTTCTGCATTTTAAATAATAGAAGTAGAGAGTGCTGAATTTGCGCATTCTTGTGGATGGGCTTTAGGGATTTGGGTGAGTCATTTCAAAGCCATTCTACAATAGGCAGGGACATGTGCTAGATGGTTTTTGCAGAATTTGGACAGAAGATGTGGGAACAGGCCAGGGGAGAACATGCTAGCAGGGAAGAGGGAGAGGGAATTGACCGATTCATATTTAGGAGAAAAAATCTACAGGCCTTGATGATGCGTTAGATGTGGAGGCTGGTGCAGGGGAAGGAATCCAGTGTGATGCTCAGCTTTCTAGTTTGAGTGGATGGTGGGGCCACAAACTAAAATGGAGAACCCAGGAGGCAGACCAGCTCTGGAGGCAATGAAGGGTTCAGTTCAGTCATGTTAGTGTGAGTCACCTATGGAGCATCCAGGTGATTATTTCCAGGAGTTGTGGACTTAATCCAAGTGGGTAAGATCAAAATGCTAACCTATTCTTAGGGCAAAGTAGTAAGGCATGGACTCTGGGATATTTCCATTGTGTATATTTTGAAAAGGAGAAAAATGTTTTTGGATAAAGGTAGAGAAACCTCCTATTAGTGGTCTCCTAAGTGAGGTGGGGAGACATCACGCAATGATTAGGTGTTTTCCTTTTAGGGACTCCTACCTTTTCTATAAGCATTGCCTCAGGCACAGAAACCAAAGGAACACGCCGGACCTCCTCTATGAAAATCAGTCTGGTAGCCAAAGGCTAATGGAGCCTTTGAAATAAGCCTTCAGTTTTAGGATACATATCCATTTCTCCATTTTACCCTTTCTAAAATTAGAGGAAATAATTTGGACAAAATGAGACATTTCCCGTGGTTAAATCACTTAATAAAGCAACTGAAGAAAAGAGGTGAGACTTAACACATCTTTAAAAAGATAAACTTGTGGTAATGGGGAAACTGGGTTTTAAAAAATACCATGCTTTAATGATAGTTTTGTAATGTTTCTGATGGACAATTGACCAAAATAGATTGGAATTCTGCAAAACCAAGCATCCTAGAAGCAGGTGGGGATGAAATAGGGTCTCCTAATAGTGCTAGAGCTGAAGAGCTAGAACCTCTTTCTCCTTCTGAGATAATCCTTGATCAAGCTGACTGACATGAGGGTTTCTCTTGATTTCAGCCAAGCATTTTCTTGGAACCCAGTGGCTTCCTGGCAAGAGCACATTTCGATGTTTCTCATTTGCCAGAATGAAAACTCTAGCAAGGGTCTCCTATTTTACAAAAATAAATTGTAAGTGCTTTGGCACTTTTTATTCCTAGAGAGATTCTCCTCAGTCTTCTTTTCCAAAGTAAAGAGAAATCAAGTTTACAAAGATCTCAAGATGGTCCATTTTAATTAGAACCTTTGAAAGTTAGAGCTAGATGGGGCCTCAGGAAACAGATACTGAGAGTTTTAAACACATGCCTTTCAAGTCAGGCCACCACATCATGCTTTGAATAAAGTTGTAATCTACAACTAGAGTTCAATATTTGCACTTCATGGGTGTTTTTCTGTGGGAAACTTTGTTTACCAAGAGCTTTGTTGAATGAATAGCACTACATTTGAGGCATGTCAGATAGTTATGTAATCATATGATTCTTTGCCAAAACTTGCCTTGAAATTTACAAAATGCTAGCTAAGTGAGAACACTGTTTTGTCCAAATGTGCAATTGCAAATTCAAGTAAACAGTATTTTTAATTAAATTATTGACTAGAACTTTAAGAAGTGTAATTCATTCACAGAAGATAAAAACAAATAAAATGTGTAATGAAATGTTGGACTAATAGGAAGAACAGTCCCCAAGAACATGTCATGGTACCTCAGTCATTTCTTTGGCTAACGTGATGATGTATTGTGTGAGGGATACAACCAGGAATATGCAATTCTCTTAATTCAATCAGTAAGTCAGCTAAGAATGCTTACATCCTGTCCATTGGACACACAGTGTTCTACTTGGTACTGTTTTTAAGAGAGAACTTGGAGCAGAGTCCCTATCTTCTGAAACGTCACATGTAGAATGGGTTGAACTCTCTGGGAAGCATCGGTCACTTCTCTGTAGCCTGTGGGGCGACTGACAATGTCAGAGAGAAGCGAAAAGAACCATGGAACCTAAGGCTGGTTGCCTGGGGCAATGGGATTTTCACTTTCCTCCCTGAAGGAAATCCAACTCTATGAGGAACAAAAAGATGGACAAGTGTATGTGCACAAAGGAGGTAAATACTATAAACAAGTCTATGAGGCCGCAGTTAGCTAGTTGTTACCGAGGAGTACGCAGAATCCTAGTAAAGAGGAGTGAGAAACAAGAAAGGAAATGCTGGTGGAAGGAACTTCTGCAGACTGGAGTTGAGGTTGCAGGGAAGGAGCCTTCCTGGGAAAGCTCTACAGTGTTTTTCTTCCTCTGGGTGGCAATCATCTCATATCGGTTTTGGTGATAACCAAGCATGTTCTTTTCTGGACGAGTGTCTGAGCAAGCTGACCACTGAGAGAAATAAACATACAAAAATGTCCATAAGAAATTAGTACTCTTCAGTTTCATGAAACTAAACAATTGTATTAGCATTTTGAGGCAAATATGCTGGCCTTTTTACAATTCCCGGTAGGAGATGGTCAGCTTTTCCAAATTACTGGCCTTTGGGCGTGTGGTTCCTTCAACTGGGAGAATCTTGCCCCTCTCTTCACTGGTCTGCTCCAGCTCATCCTTCCAACGTGAGCTTGAATTGACCTCCGCATGGCCTTCCAAGTCACCTTAGAGAAAGATGAAACTTAGGTGGTTCCATGGTGTAATGGTTAGCACTCTGGACTCTGAAAGATGAAACTCCTTTCCTTTTGTCTCCTTTTTTCTCTAACATGATACTTTGGTCCTTGCTTCAGTGAACACATCATACATTTAAGTGGTATTTTTATACATTTCTTTACTATCTGATTAAATGTGTCTCTCAGAACACTGTATGCTCTATAAGGACAGAGACAGTCTCAGTTTGATTCACTGTGAGCTACGTGTTTACCTAACTCAGAGATTGGTACAAAGTGGGAGCAGGGAGAAAATGCTGAATAGATGAATACTCATTTAAGAGATTAAATTCTAGATTATTTTTAAACAAGAAGGTGAGCATTTCATTTAACATTCCTCTAGCTATTTCTTGCTTATTTATCCTTTGATTTAATACCCAAGAGCACAGTTTGACATTGCTTCATGGCTTCATTGACTAAGAATGAAAGATCAATTTCCTGATCTTTCCTTAGAATCAGTGTTTGCAGATGATTTGAAAAACTGTTTGTAGGCAGGTTTCCCTGGCAAGATGGTTGAAGTTCTTTCTGTTTACTATTTGGCCACAACAAGCTCAGAAGTGAGAAATGATTCCATGAAGTTTCACAATAAATATTAAATATGTAAAACTGTGACATGTGTAACATTTATAAAAACGGGATTTATAGGAAGTTCTAGGCATAAAGTGGAGTTCATTTCAAAAACAGGAATCTCAGAATATTAATGTTAATTCCTTCTTCGATTTATTTCTTTTGATGTAACTATATTTATATATATATGTTTAGATATCCTATTTTTTAAATTTGAGATAAGAGACACAAACATTAATCATTCTACATATTTTTGTAGTTAATAATTTTTTTTGTGGGGCAGTTTTTCTGTCATTAATTAGATTGTAGGGTCTGAACTATACATATTGCTAATGGATAGGCGAAATGTCTCTCGATTCTTAGGTGGAGATTTTACATATATAATTTATTAATATATGTATGATATATAGTATATATTTATAAACTATGACTATTTATAAATGCTTTGAGATTGCCATAGCTAAACTTAGCTGTTATTGAAGGTACTTTACAAAGGAATTCTATATACTTTCAGGTATTTGATCTCTTCAAAAAATAAACCTAGAGTAAACCTAAATTAACAAACTGGTAAAGGAAAAATAACTTTTACTCATTGTGTTCAAGCCAGTTTTCATTGGGAAATATTTATTATGCAAAATGGCTCATAAAAATTACCTGGACATTTTACAATCAACCAAGGCAGGACTGCCCACACTATCTTACATTCTTCTATCAAAATTCCCAATTTCTGTTATATCTATCTTTTTCTTATAAACTATTTCATGAGTTTTCAGTTGCTTTAATACTTTATCTATAGCCAATAAGAGTTCAATAATTAATGAAACCGTCCTCTTTAAACAAAATATATTGCCACAAAAGATTTTGTAAAATACTTAAATTTGAGGAATTTTTAATGTCATATATAGATAGAATTGCCAGTGCAGTTGTACCAAACTGAAAATATTTTTTTGTTAAAAGGGGTCATTGCTAAGTAAACAGATATTAAAGGATTTATAATTCCACTTTATTGAACCAAACATTAAAATATATATTACAATTTGATTCTATCAGCATTTTGATATTTAAGTAGCATTATGAAAGGTATGAATTCTGAAATATTTATATAGGCTGGCAAATAGTTTCATGTGTACTGGTAGTATGATTTCTCAGATTCACCTAGTTATATAATGATGATTCATAAAGTTAATCATTAAAGAACTTCCCTAGTTCTTTCCTAATCTAATCAACTTGTGCCAAGCAAAGAATTGACTTTAAAACCAAATTCAAGTTACTTCATAACAATTTTTAAAATTTACATTGAAATCAAAAAAGGAATGTTTGTAATATGTTTAAGAAAATCCACAAAATGAGTATTACTTTAGGAAATACATATGTCATCTTTCCATGCTAAATCTGCTCTAAGTGGTGGCAGTTGGTTAAAACCCTTTTTTAAAAATTTGTATTCCAACTTAAAAATGCAAGCATGCTTTTTCAAAATATATCATTACAGCCTTGGAAAATGTAAATATTAAATGTTAATATTGTTGACCCAAGCCCCCTACTAATTCCCAGGTGCCAATCAGACTTTAAATATGTATTTCATAGGGATTGTGTGTCTTCACCAAGTCCTTGGCTGTTTGTCTGTCTGCAGCAGGCCCACGACTCACAGAGGGGAGAGTAGAAGGGAAGCCAGGTCTCCATCACACAGCACAGACTCCTGCCACTTAGAACGTCAGGACAGTTCGGATGCTGAAATGTAAAATGATCATCTTTAGTGATTTGTGCCCATACCTTCCAAACAAGAACAGTTTAAGCAATTACCCTTCCTATCTGTTATAGGAAACTTAGGTAAACTCTGTTGTTGGAAATCCTTCCAGGCTTGAGGTCCATACCAGTGAATTTTCCTTCTCCTGAGTCTCTGATAAGCACATCCGCAGCAGGCTGACAAGGAAAGGGACTTTCTGGCTGAAGAGAAGACATGAAGAAGCCTATGAAAGGTGATGCGTGGTGCTTAGACTTCTGGACGCCTGGAGACTGTGGCAGTAGGTGAGACCTACTCCCTCACTTTATTCCCACGGCCTGGCACTGAGGGTAGAGCAGGTGCTAAGTCCTTAACTGTGGAATGACCGCGTACATTAGTAAATGAACAGCAAATGCTTTCAAAACTACGCAAAGGCATTGCCATTTTGGGCAACTTGAGTTTTAGCAGCGTAGTGAGGGCCTGACCACTATGGGAAAATACAGGAAGGCAGGAGACCTGTTTCCACGCTACTGTGTTAACATGCCCAGGGGAGAGATGGCTGGACTGAACTAGGTAATGCTCTGGACGATGAGAGGGAGGTGAGCTAGAGGAGACCCTGGGGTTGCATCGCTGGGGCTCAGAATCTGTTTGCATGTGGTGGACAACGGTGAGGCAGTCAAAGGTGATGCTCTGCTGCTAGTCTGTAAAAGCAGAAAGGGGGCACTGCTTGCTGAGGTGAGAGGTACTGGTGGAAGAATTATCTGGGGTGAAGTTAATGCAAGTGGGACGCAAGTGCGGCCACGCAGGAAGTAGATGGAAATGAAGAGCTTGGGTTTAGAAAACTCAACTTGTGATATTGGAAGCAAAATTCCTGAGAGCAGAATTTATGTTTCAAACTGGCCATATTAAGCTACTTGTTTTGCTTAACTGAGTGAAGATTGTTCTGACCGTTTAGCCCATTGTATCCTTGCTTAAAAGCAGTTTGAATGTATGTTCATAATACAATGACCTGGTGGTCTAGACCAGATGTAGAGACACCAGACAACATTGGAAACACACTCAAGGGAAAACTTAAGTGAGAATTTGGATCTCAGGTTAACGTACTTTTGCTAATGAAACCCAAGTCCTTGGAACACAGTGGATGTTCAATAAGTATGTAGAGACCCAGTGAGTGAAATGTCATTTCATCTAGTAGACAGGCTCCCTGATTGCTGTTCCAAGCATCCATGAGCAGACATTGTAGTGACGTTTGTGTGAATTTTTCCTATTCTACCTCTAACCTTGCCCAGCCCTCAGAAGTAACAACAATAGTGACAAGAACACACATGTTTGGCCCTGGCCGGGTGTCTCAGTTGGTTGGAGAGTTGTCCTGTACACCACAAGGTTGTGGGTTTGATCTCCAGATTGGGGCATGTTCAGGAGGCAGCTGATCAATGATTCTCTCTCATCATTGATGTTTCTATCTCTCTCCCTCTCCCTTCCTCTCTGAAATCAATAAAAATGTTTTTAAAAATCTATGAAAACATATTCTTGTGTGAGGATTAAAAGGAACACCCATGTGTGCCTGGAGCCTGCCAGCTCTGTGGGATGAATCCGGGGTGTGGTGAAAAGAGCACAGGCTTTCATTGAGCTTGCATCCTGGTGCTGCCCCTAAAGGTCTGGCAAGTTATTTGCGTCTCACAACCTTAGTTTGTTCAACTGAAGATTGTTATCATATCTCACCTGCAAGTATCTGAAGAAAGCACATTTGAAAAAGCACTTTGAAAAGTGTAAAGCAAGAAAATGTAGCATTTCTTGAACAAGCTAGCATCTTTATGATGAAATAAAGATAGCCAAGATGAAACCAATCCAGTATAGAAAAACAAAAGCCCAGAGGATTTTTAAAAATTTAGTGCAGGACAATGACATACAAAGTCTACAAAAAAGCAATCAGCCATATCGTTTCTTACTAGCTTAAAAAATCAGAAATAAAATATGAAAGAAACTGGTATATTTATAAATATTGAATTGTTAAGGTAGCCTGTGGAGTAGAGATGAGATCACCATAAAACAAAACAAAACAAAACAAAAAACAAGTACCTTTTCCCTGAATAGAGCAGTTCGAATCCTTCTTGGATTTTTTTAAAAGGTAAAACATGGGTTATCAACTGGTCCAGGTCAAATTTCTTTGCCAGGAAATCATTCACTATTTTTGGAACATCATCTCTGCTTTTCCAACCTGTAAATAAGCACACATTTTCTCTTTAGACTTAACTAAATAATATTTATATTTTATTATATTTGTATCTTGTCTCTTCTGCATTTTTACCTTTTCCTATATTGAAGTACTCTCAACTGCACACCAATAAGATATTCTCCCAAAGGCCAACCCCTCTCCCCCCCATACAAACCTTTCATGACCCCACATCTCCTTCTAGCTGCCCCATATCTCTGTTCCTTTTATAGATTTTTTTTTTTTTACTTTACAGAAAAATGCATCTCTAGTTCATTGTTTCCAGTTCCACTGCCTGTCCTGTCACTATCTCTTGAGCTCTCTTGTCACTCAGCTCTCTGCTGTTCAGCTCTTGTCGAGGTCACCCTGACACACACAATGTTCAATGCGAGGAAAGCTTGTTCTCTTTCCACAGCATCATCTGGGGCACGACCATGAGAGGCTGCTTTGCATAAAGGCAGTTCTTTAGAGCTGGCTTCTTAGGGGAAATAAGACGTGAACTGAAGAACAAACACTAAGAGATATTGACTTTGACCATTTGTGCCAAGTGGTGAGATTACAGATTACACAGGAATATTAGAAGTAAAATTCAATTATTCAGTAAATATCTATTGGGTATACCCCAGTGCCAGGCACCAGGCAGGGACTATAGCAAAGCAAAACATATGAGGTCCCTGATCCCAAGAAGCATGGGAAGCCTCTCATTTTACTGCCGAGAGACTGACCATCAAGAGGCAAATGCAGAGGACGTCATCCAGTGACAGCAGGAGGAGAAAGACAGAGTAAGGGGCCATAGGCAGTGCTAGAGGGACAGGCAAGGTGGGAGCAGGAGGGACTGCTATTTCATGAAGCTCAGGGAAGGCCTGCCTGTTAAGTGACATTCATACAAAAACGTGAGGGCAATGAGCTGGGCAGGAATCTAGGGAAGGAGTATTTCAGGGAGAAGGCAGAGTAAGTGCAAAAGCGTTGAGGAGAGTTGGCAAGTGAGAACAGCGAGGAGGCCAGTGGCTGGAGCAGAGTGAGAACAGAATAGTAGCAGCTGGGGACGGGGGACCAGATCACATGGCACCTTCTGGCCATTGCATGTTTGGGGATTTTATTCTGGATTTTATTATATAGTCACAGTCTGGTTGCTCTGTGGGAATGTTCTATATAGGGGACAAGGGCCAGGGCAGGGAGACCATTTAACAATGCTGAGAGTTGATGATGGTGGCTTGGACAAGTGATGTTGAGAAATGGTCAGGCCCTGGGTATACTTTGAAGATAGAGCCAACAGGATTTGCTGAAACATTCATTGCATGAAAGAAAGAGTATAATGCAAGGTTTGGGGCCTGATCAACAGGAATGATGGAGCCATCTTTTACTGAGATGGGAAGGCTGTAGGAGGAGTAGGTTGGGGGTTAGGGCAGAGGTGGTGGCATCAGGAGTGGTTTGGGGTAGGTTAAGTTTGCATGTCTATCAAATATCAAAGTAGATATGTCAGGTAGGCAATTGGAGCTCACTTGGGGGTCTAGGCTGAAGATATAAAGTGAAAGCCATGAGACCAGAGGGAATTACCTTGGAAGAACATGGAAATAAGGAAAGGATCTGAGGACAGACACCAAAGTTGGAGATCTGACGATGTGGAGGCTCCAGCAAATATTCCTGGAAGGAGTGACTACTGAGCTAGGATGCCGGGGTCCAACCCCAGCAGGTCCAGGGGTCCCCAAAGGTGTGGATGGAGTCGGCGAAGAAGGAAGGACACGGAGACAGTGTTCAGTTGATCAGCAGCCTAGCCAGGATCTCCAGCCAGGATCTCCAGCCAAGTTCTGGTCTGGATCTCCAGAGAGGTTCTGCTGTTTATTGTCTTGTTACATCCGTATTTATCCCAGTTGATTTTAATCCTGTCAATTTCTATTACAAAGGTTAGGGCGTTTCTTATCTCCATTCCAGGGAGTAAAGATTATGTAGCTTAAGCATGATTGTTTGTAGTGATTAACTACCCGCCTGGCACTTAGTTAAGGAGTTTCATCCCCTCCCTGACTTCAGGGAAAAATTCCTACCTGGGGAAACAACCTTTCTCGGAGAGGTGACCTTGGTTAAAACACACAGCGCTAAGGGGAGCAAACATATTAAGAACAGTATGCTATATACGCCAGGTCCCTTGAAACATATGCTGTGCAGATGTTTCTTTCCTGCAGCGACTGTGTCAAGCAGCAAGGATGGACCGGCTTCCGGCACTAGGAGGAGAAGAAACAGAATAAGAACAACAAACAAAATAATATCTAGGAGCCAAGTGAACAGAGAATTTGAGGAAAAGGGAGACATCAGCTGTATAAAATCCTGCTGATAGTTTATATACAACCAGGAGTGAGAATTTATCATTGTCTCTGTCAGACATTTTGGTATGAATCTCAATTGTCCCAATAAAATGAAACAATCCATATTTGTTTGTTTGTTTTGGCTTTGGGTTCAGAAGTTTTTTGCTGATGCAATCGTGGATTGAACAAAGTCTATTTTTTATACGTGTTCTTGCATATACTGAGAATAATGGATATAATCAGCACTTCCTATCCGATAAAGCATTCCCATAGAAAGATCACTGGTGCCTCTCATTGAGGCCTTTGAGGAACTTGATTTGAAAATGTTACTGCTAAAAATGTGCCCAAGAATATTAGCCTTAAATCAGGTGAGAAGTGGGCCTTGTTTTGTATCATTGTGGTCACAGTCTCATGTTAGGTCACTTCATACCCATCCTTGGAACAAAGACCTTAAAGGGAGATCTGATGAGACAATAGGCTTCTATCACTTACCCAAGGAACAGAATTCAAGTCCTCCTGAGTCAGAGGCTCCACCATCCTTACCTCCAAAAATGCATCCCTTCCATGTGCGTCCAGTGAAGAGCAGCATAGGGTCGTAGGTGAGCATCTTGGCTGATGGAGGAGCACCTACCACCACGCTGGTCCCATAGTTCATGTGGCAGGATGCGAGGGCATCAATCTAAGTTTAAAATGAAGAAGGCTATTTGTTTCTTATGTTTCACAGTATCTTATGGGCTCATAAGTGCCCTACATACTCTCACAGTTCTAGTAGATGGAACTTGGGAACAGCCACAGTTCAAGTTCCCAAGTCATGATGCTAAATTAGGCCCACATGACTTTTATTTTTGTTTGTGTTTAAAAATTCTCAACACAACTCTTGTCTTAATTTTGTCTTTCATACATTTGCCCTCTAAGGCAGAAAGCAGAAATTACTGTGATTGATGCTCATGACATTTTCAGTGTGTCATGGATCACAAAGCACAGTGGGAAATTCCTGTGTTATTTTCAGACCAATATCACCATTTCAGATAAGCCTTGGAAAATTATTTGAACTAAACTAACTCGAATTAACTATACTAAGTGAATTAACTTATTTTTAAATTTAGTGTCAAAGTAAATAAAATGTGAGATAAAGAAGTTTTTGTGGGTTTTTTTGGTGGCATCTCTGAAATTAACTCCACTTTTCTGGTCATTCACCCATCGGGTTTTTCATTAATAGTTTTTTGAATAGATGCTAGATTGTAGCAATGGATGTTGGCATTTTTCAGAGATCAGTGTTGATAAAGGTACCATCTGAAAATCAATAGGCCCTAACAGTATGTCCAATAGTCTATGTTGCCTCTGTAAACATACAATCTAAAATGATATTTGTTACTGTGGGATAATTCTAAGTGCCCTAGGAAAAGAATGTGATAAACAATGGTAAATTAAAGACTAGTTATTCATAAATTTCCAAAATATTCAAGTGAATTAAATGTACTACTCAATCATGAGCAAGATTGGCTTTGTCTTACATTTCGGAATCTCCTCAGCCTGCCCAAGCTGGGGCTTTGTTAGCCAGGAGCTTGGCACCTGTTTCTACATGGAGGGCTGGTGCTGCGGGCTGCCACAATGGAGCCATGTTTGAGAAAGTTGAAGGCTCCTATTTTAAGAAAATTTAGATCGGAGAAAACTAATCTCAGGTGTAAAGAGTGAGAGTTGGATACATTCTGGATTTGGAGGAAGAGACTGCCAAATTTGGAAAAGTCAATTTCCTCCCTGGATCTCCTCATCTCTCCTCAGGGAGTCACTTTGTGCTATTTGGCTTGCTAAAGTATAAGCAATGGGCTTGCCTTTGCCAATAAATTTACATATGCAAACAAGGAAGAGAAGGCAGAAATTTGTTTAGATGATTGACTACCTTGCACTCCCGTTACATGAGAGTGGTGTGGTGTGATACTTAACTTTAGTCACGCAGACCTGCTCATAAGCTTTTGACTTTTAAGCAAGGTTGTTTCACATCAGCAGCTTTTGCCTAATACGTACTTCAATAGTTGTTTGTTAATAAAGCCATAGAAAATTACTTTTACCTTTATGATCAAATAGCTTACATGTTATGTGGTTCCCCTAATCTTGGCTCTTACCATTGTGTCAAGACGCCCAATAACTTCAAAACTGTAACCCACAGTGTTGCCTGTCATTTCTGACAGCACTTCACTGATAGGCTTAGTAGAGTCCTTGGGGCTGATGCAGTCAGTGGCTCCTACAGCCTTTGCCTTCTCAAATTTGTCTTTGTTGAGGTCAATTCCAATGATCCTGGATGCACCAGCCGACTTACAGCCCATGATGACTGAAAGGCCAACTCCTCCCAGGCCAAAGACAGCACAGGTGGAACCAGGGGTGACCTGTGGAGAGAAAAGTTCATGCAAGTGTTAGAGGTGGGATAAAACAAGTTAAATCTGTAAAGTATTTGCAACATTAGGAACACAAAATTCAGAGGCTGTTAGGATTGGATTACTTATTCTGTTGGTAATGCCACAAAGAGGATTAGAAACAGAAGGTCTGAGAACAGAAAAGGAACAAAAACAGTATTTGCCAAGTAAATAAAAATCTACACTAATAAAAGACAAAGATGCTAATTGACCATAACTTCGCTATGCCCAAGCCATGTCCACCAGCCAATCAGAGCAACTATATGCAAATTAACCCAACCAAGATGGCGGCTGCCAGCCACGGAGCTGGAGCAAGCAGGAGGCTTGGTTGCTCCAGCAATGGAGGAAGCCAAGCTTCATGCCTGCTCTGACTGGCTGTGGCCTTCACAAAAGGCAACAAAGTTTCCATTACAGAAGCTAAATAAATCCCAATACCTACTTCCAGCCAGCCTCCACTGGGAGCTTGGGTGACTGGGGGCTGTGGCCAGCCTGCAAACAGCCATCAGCCCCTCACCCAGGCTGGCCAGGAACCCCAGCAGGGACCCCTACCCTGAAGGGGCTGTGGCCACCCTGCAAACAGCCATCAGCCCCTCACCCAGACTGGCCAGGGACCCCAGCAGGACCCTCCACCCTGAAGGGGCTGTGGCCAGCCTGCAAACAGCCATCAGCCCCTCACCCAGGCTAGCGATACCCTCTTGCGGTGAGGGTCCTCGCTGGGGGGCTTGGCCAGCCTGCAAACAGCCTTCAGCCACTCACCCAGTCTGTCCAGGCACTGCAGCAGGACCCCCCCCTTGCTGAAGGGGGTGTGGCCAGCCTGAAAACGGCCCTCAGCCCCTCACCCAGGCTGGCCAGGCACCCCAGTGGGACCCCCACCCTGATCTGGGACATCCTTCAAGGCAAACCAGCCGGCCCCCACCCATGCACCAGGCCTCTATCCTATATAATAAAAGGATAATAAGCAAATTGACCCTAACAGCAGAGCAACTGGGAATCACTGGTCACTATGACACAAATTGAACACCAGGGGGCAGACACTCAATGCAGGAGCTGCCTTCTGGGGTCAGTGTGCTCCCACAGGGGGAGCTCTGTTCAGCCACAAGCCAGGCTGCCAGCTACCAGTACAGCAGTGGTTGTGGGAGCCTCTCCCGCCTCCTCAGCCATGCTAAGGATGTCAGACTGCAGCTAGGCCTGCTCCCCGCTGGCAAGTGGACATCTCCCGAGGGCTCCTGGGCTGCCAGAGGGATGTCTGACTGCCAGCTTAGGCCCAATCCCCCAGGGAGTGGGCCTAAGCCAGCAGGTGGTCATTCCTCGAGGGGTCCCAGACAGCGAGAGGGCACAGGCCGGGCTGAGGGACCCTCCCGAGTGCACAAATTTTTGTGCACTGGGCCTCTAGTCCTTTATAAAAGGGTACATCATATAAAAGACTTTTGTTATGGGAGTTTTTAACCTCATCTAATCTCATAACAGGATTAAATAAGCTCTAAGGTCTCCATTATCTCTTCTCCACAAAGCTATGCTAAATCTGTTTAAGATTTTGGTCTGACTAGCATTTACTTAATAACCATAAGTCTGAGTCATTTTAAAATAAATTGGGTGTGTTTTTTTTTATCAAAGTTAAACCTCCATGTTTCTTTTTATTAAGTATATTTTATTAATTTCAGAGAGGAAAGGAGAAGGAGAGATGGAAACATCAATGATGAAAGAGAATCATTGATCAACTGCCTCCTGAACACCCCCCTACTGGGGATCAAGCCCTCAACAATGCAACAAGAGCATGTATCCTTGGGCAGAATCAAACCCGGTACCCTTCAGTCTGCAGGCCGATGCTCTAGCCACTGAGCAAAACCTGCTAGGGCACCAAGCCTCCTTGTTTCAATAGATGATCTATGTGTTGTTCTGGGTAGAGGGGACAATCTAAAGTTAGCAGAAACGAAGGCTCTTATCAAGTCAAAGAATCAGAGGCAGATGAGAGGAGGTTCAAGAAACTATCACTCTACAGATGGGTGACTGAGTTCTAGGGAGAATTGCTTAGAGGTACAGCTCCTTAGTGATTAAAAATATCACCCTTCATAGCCACCATAGTCTAATGCTCACTAGAGTTTAAATAAGGAAGTACTATAGTGCATAAAGGAGACTCGTTCCATACCTTCCTGGAGCTTATCATCTAATAAGTACCACTAAAGATATGAGACTTTGAGATTTGGGACACACACTATTAATGAAGCAGCCATGTTCCCTTGAATAATGGAAGAAGTTTCTCTTCATTGGAGTAGACAGAAAAACAAGAAGTTCTCTGAGCAAGAGTGATAGGAAACAACTACAGGAGGATTTGGAAGATGAATGTTCCAGACAATCAGAATAGCATGTGTAAATGCCTCCATGCAGGAACAGCTCAGCAGGCGTCAGGATGCTAAAAGAGGCAGGTGTGGCTGGCTCACAGTGGGTAAGATGAGATTGTTCCAAGTATAAAAATTACTGAAGGATTTTGTGGCAAAACTAATGTGTTCCAATTTATGTTGTATGAAATTACTCCAGCTTATCAATGGAGATTTATTTGAGATGGTTAAAAAGAGTAATAAAGACAACAGAAGGGAGGCCATTGCATCTGTCCAGTCAAAAATAATGATGATAGTCCACTGAAGAAAATGGAGATATTTATAATATACCCTGTATGTAAAGTTAACAGGACTTGCTGTTGGGATTCATCTAAGGTGGTGGAGAGGGAAGATAAAGAATGAAGAAAATTGGAGTGGGCAAAATATGTTTGAGGGGCAGGGAGTAAGAAAATTAATAATTCCATTGTATACCTATTCAGTTGGAAATGCCTGTGAGACATACAAATGGAGATGTCTGGGAGGGAGTTGGAAAAAAGAATTTGGAGAGAGTTTAAGTTACAGATTTGAACTCAATGAACATATATAGTTTTTTAAAGACTTTTGGAGTTGATAGCATACCACATTATTGTTTGTGGAATGGCTGTCCTATTACAAATTATTACATGTTATTCTACTTACTTCTTGCGCTCATTAAGAGTAAAATAAATTTAGTCCAAATAAGCATTCTTAAAAAATCATTCATATGCCAAAAAAAGACAATAAGCCAGAATTTTATTTTGTTGTTGTTGTAGAAAAAAAACCCAACAACCCTCATTCATGTTTTCATTTTATATACCAGCTATTATGGATTGAATTGTGTTCCCTCCAAATTCATGTACTGAAGTCTTAATCCCAGTTCCTCAGAATGTGATCTTATTTGGAGAGAGGGTCTTTGCAGAGGTAACCAAGTTAAAGCAAGCTCATTAGGGCGGGCCCTAATCGAATATGGCTTGTATCCTTCTGAAAAGGGGAAATTTGGACACAAAGACTGTTATAGCTGACAGGTGCTGGGAAGAGACACAGTGAGAAGAGCCAAGGAGAGCTGCCTGGAACAGATCCCCACTCACAGCCCTCAGAGAAAACCAGTCCTGCCAGCACCTTGGTTCTAGTCTCCAGAATGTGAGACAATAAATTCTGGCTTAGGACAGCCAGTCGGTGGTACTTTGCTATGACAGCCCTAGCACACTAACAAACCAGCATTGGTACCTATTTTGTGAAAGAAAAAGGATGTGTTTCCGAATCTGAATTTTAAAATTTAGAAATAAACCTGAAGGAAATGTCGAGGAAACACAATTAAATCTAGGTATTTTATTTTCACTTGTTTAGAAGTAAAATGTCTAATCTGAATTTTTCACTTTTCCTCCAGTTGATTTGGCATTGTGTAGAAACAGCCTGCATATAATATGTTTTCAAAAGCCTTTAGGATTCCAAAAAATCATTAAAAAAGCAAAAAGGAAGAAACTAACCCATCCTGCTTCTTACCTTGCCAGTTTTAATCGCAGCCCCATATCCCGTGGAAAACCCACATCCAATTAAACAGACTTTCTCAGGAGGAGCTGCGTCATCAATCTTAGCAACAGAGAATTCATCCACCACTGTGTACTCAGTAAACGTACTGGTGTTCATGAAGTGGTAGACCGGTTTGCCCTTGCATGAAAATCTGGTAGTGCCATCATCTAGTACTCCACGACCGGTAATGCTATTTGACACATCAAATACACAGGTCAGTTAATTCAATACAAAACTTAGCACTGGAACAATTTAAATGGCATAAGAGTAAAAATGTCCAAAACCTACTCGCTCTTAATGCAAAGGTTTCCATCTGGGTTGCGACAAGCATTGCATTCTCTACATTGAGGCATAAAGAGGGGGATGACCTTGTCACCTAGAGGGAAATCACCATGATATAAGATGTTGGTTATTAACATTAAAATATGAAATAAACAATTGTGAATTGGGCCCATGCCACATACAAGAATTTCTTAAAAGTATTCTAAAATGTATAAGCAGCAGAAGGTTTGCTTGCTAAAGGTCGAGACTGCCAAATTAAACTTCACTCAGTGTCATCCAATTCTCCCTGTATCCTTTTATCCTCCTAAATTATGTCAAGGCTGTCTCTGCTAATCCCTAGTTGTGCTGTTTCCTTTGCTAGGATAATAAGACCCTACTTATCTCAAACTTGTGACGTGTTATCTGCACACCTGGTTTCACTGTAGTGACTCCTTCTCCAATGCTCTCCACAAGGCCAGTTGCTTCATGTCCCACAATCACTGGAAACCTGGACACCATTAGTCCTTTAATCACATGGTCATCTGTGCGACAGATTCCTGTGGCCAAAATCTGTGCTCAAAGACAAGAACATTGCACCAATCAGCACACTGGTCACTTCACAGTTGGGAGGACATCTACCTCAATCTTGAAAAGATTATAATTGTTTATTCAGTTTGATTGCCAAATATAATAGTGTTGACTCATAGAAGATTCTGAGCTTAATACCAACCATCAGACATGATCCCGCTCATCAAGGGATTGATTTACAATATTGCTGCCTCTGACCCTACTTTGAATCTCAATGTCTGTCTATAGCAAATTAGTGCTCTTGTGAGATATGCAGATGTTACCATGTGACCAGCACAAAAGTAGATTCTTATAGCCAGGCCCTCTTAGGACCTATTAATGAAGGGTGATGGGAATGGCATGCATGAAGGTAAGTGAGGAGCAAAATCTTACTAGAGTGTATAAGTAATAGAAGATCAAAGAACGACTGGCAGCAACATCTACTCAACAACCTGGTGTCCAAACCAATGCTTAGGCTGTGAACAAAGGAACAGGGAACACTCCAGGAAGCTATTGTTTCTCCAGACACAAGTGAATTTCTCATTCTTTGGGAAAAGTAATCTCAATACTATCTGACTTCCAAAAAATTTTAAAATAAATCATTAGTTGTGATTACTAACCATTTTTAAAAATCAGAATCATGTCAATAAAAATTCAACAAGTAAAAGTTTTTATAGAGCAGATTAGTAGTGCTGTTTTTAATGAATAATTGCCATTAATTTCACAACCAGCATGACAAGACCCTTAACAATAAACAAGAACCACTAAGAAAAATAATGTATAAAATTTGAGAAACACCTCTTTATTCAAGAATCCAACTTCAAATAACGATATATTCAAGATAGTTGGGGTAGCATTTTAGGCTTATGTATTCTAAGGCTCCTTACCTTGATACGAACTTCTTTAGCCTTTGGTGGGGCAACTTCTATTTCCTCAATGGAAAAAGGTTTATTCGGTTCCCATAACACGGCTGCTTTGCATTTAATAACCTAAGAAATTGGTGAGAATTAAAATGGGTCTTAATTATGTCTGTACATATGCATATTCCACACAAAAATTTTTTAAAAAATGAATAAAAGATTTTATTTGACATTCTAATTTGACCAGGATTATTTTCATTAAAACTAGAATTGTAATCATTAGAAATCATCTTGTGTGCTTTGATATATGAGAAATGTAACCTGAATGATTGATCCATAGTCACATGAGAAGCAGGGCTGAACTAGACCTGGACAGCCTTTCCAGCCCTTTGTGGGGGTTTTTTAGTGAAACATAATATTTCACTAAATTAGGTTCTTGTACTACAACTTCAAACTAACAAAGCTGTCATCTTTGTATCACTTATCCACAAGGGAAAATTTATAAAACAGATAATGCTGCTGATTTTTCTGTAAGAATTTAAGCTAGTATTTAATTGCTGTATAATCATGTAACAATGGGGAGGAAATTAGAAAATTAGCATGGTTAGAGATGAAGAGAACCACAAATGTCATGAAGTATATAGAATGAGTTCCTGGGTGACTCAACCTGTCAGTTTGTATCTCTGTGTCCCTTTTTTATACCTAGCCCAGTTTTTGCATCTAATTGGGTCTTAAATGCTTAAAGCAGAAAATTACAGAAGTAAATATTTTTGATGCATCCAGTGCTTAATCAAAATTAAAAGAAAAGCAGGAAGAGATACATCCACTCCTATTACTGCTGCCCTCCTACATAATATACTCACATTTAAATATACATGCAAAGGAGGTAAGGAGGAAAATACAATAAGTTAATAAATATATAGTGCAGTAATTGTTCTCCTCAGTTATAAACAGGTTTTTATGTTTATAAAAATGATAAAATATTCTATTTTAAGTCCGTAATAACTTTTTATTTAATGAGAATACCCAGTATAGTAGAAGGGGAGGCAAAATAGGCAATTCATTATCCTATATAATAAAATGGTAATATGCAAATTGACTAAATGGCAGAATGACCAGTCACATGATGCACACTGACCACCAGGGGGCAGACACTCAGCGCAGGAGTTGCCCCCTGTTGGTCAGTGTGCTCCCACAGTGGGAGTGAGGTTCAGCCAGAAGCCCTGAGCCGGGCTCACAGCTGGAGAGCACAGCAGCAGTGGCGGGACCCTCTCCCACTTCCATGGCAGCGCTAAGGATATCCCCCGAGGGCTCCCAGACTGAGAGGGCGCAGGCCTGGCTGAGGGACTCCACCCCCCACCCCCTCCGCAAGTGCATGAATTTGGTGCACTGGGCCTCTAGTTAGAAAATAATTTGTAAGTACACATCAGGATACTAAAATTTTTTTCTTGTAGATGGTAACATTTAAAAAAAGTTTTCATTGATTTTTAGGGAGAGAGGGAGAGGGATAGAGATAGAAACACTGATGAGAGAGAAACATTATTGATCAGCTGTCTCTTGCACACCCCCTACTGGGGATTGAGTCTACAACCTGGGCATGTGCTCTGACCAGGAATCAAACTCATGACCTCTTGGTTCCTGGGTCAATGCTCAACTGCTGAGCTACACTGTCCTGGCATAGATGGTAACATTTTATTTTTTTGGCAACTATATTGAGATATCTTTGACAAATAAAAATTAAATATATTTAAGGACTATAACTTGATATTATATGTATCATCACAATCAAGCTAAATAACTTATCCATCATCTCTAGATAGTTAGTAGAGTGTGTGTGTGTGTGTGTGTGTGTGTGTGTGTGAGTGTGTATGTGTTAAGAAGATTTAAGATCTATCCTTTTAGAAAATTTCAAGTATTTAATGGAATATTGTTAACTTATCATCGCCACGCTGTACATTACATCTCCAGATCTCGTTCATCTTGCATAACTAAAACTTCATACCCTACTTAAGAGTATCTTGATCTTAGACACAGAGAGCAGACTGGTGAACCGCAGAGGGCAGGAGGATTGGGGAACTGGATGAAAGAAGTAAAGGGATTAAGAAGTACAAATTGGTAGTTACAAAGCAGTTATAGGGATATACAGTACAGCATAGGAGATATAGTCAGTAATGCTGTGATGACTGTGTATGGTGCCAGGTGGGGACTGGCAGTGTTGGGGTAACACTTTGTGAGGTTTGTGATTGTCTGGCCACTGTGCTGTACACCTCAAACAAACATGGAATAATGTTGAAGGTAGACTGTAGTTAAAAAAAAAAAAAGGAAACAATAGATTCCTCAATAGAATCCTTTCAAGCTGCTGCCCCAGAGCTGGAGCTCAGATGGAGTGAATAAGGGTAAGTCTGTGCTCCTGGCCCTTTTAAAGGAAAATCTGGGATTGCCACAGCCTCCTTGTTAATCAGCCAAAATCCCAGCTTGTTTTTACAGCCCAAAGTTATGGGAACTTCTCTTCCCAGCTCTGGAACCCTGGGCTGGGGCAAGGTGTGGGGCTGGGACCCCTTGCTCCTCAAGGAAGGCTTCCTCAGCCAAGATATTCCTCCCAATTAAAACAGTCACACATGGGTGTTGGACCAGCCTGTTCCTCACCTCCAGCCCTCCTATCAGTCTAGATGTGCTTTCTTCTTTAATTTTCTGGTTGTAAAACTACTATTCAGCCAGATTTCAGGAAGCTCTGAATGATGTTATTTTGTATTTTAGTTGTAATTTTGATGTGGTTGTGGGAGGCTGCGAGTACCTGTGTTTACCTATGCCACTATCTTGGTTCTCTAGGGCGATTATTGCTATGGGCCAGATTGTGTTACCCAACATTCATATGCTGAAGTCCTGACCCCAAGTACCTCAGAATGTCTCTGTAATTGGAAATAGAGTAGTTACAAAGCAGTTATAGGGATATACAGTACAGCATAGGAGATATAGTCAGTAATGCTGTGATGACTGTGTATGGTGGCAGGTGGGGACTGGCAGTGTTGGGGTAACACTTTGTGAGGTTTGTGATTGTCTGGCCACTGTGCTGTACTCCTCAAACAAACATGGAATAATGTTGAAGGTAGACTGTAGTTAAAAAAAAAAAAAAGGAAACAATAGATTATAGATTCCTCAATAGAATCCTTTCAGGCTGCTGCCCCAGAGCTGGAGCTCAGATGGAGTGAATAAGGGTAAGTCTGTGCTCCTGGCCCTTTTAAAGGAAAATCTGGGATTGCCACAACCTCCTTGTTAATCAGCCACAATCCTAGCTTGTTTTTACAGCCCAAAGTTATGGGAACTTCTCTTCCCAGCTCTGGAACCCTGGGCTGGGGCAAGGTGTGGGGCTGGGACCCCTTGCTCCTCAAGGAGGTAATTAAGTTAAAATAATGTTATTAGAATGGGCCTTCATCTAATAGGACCAGTGTCTGCATAAGGACACAGACATATGCAGAGAGAAGACCATGGGGAAACAGAAAGAAGATGGCCATTTACAAGATCAGGGGAGGGGCTCAGAGGAAACCAACCTTGCTGACACCTTGATCTCAGACTTCTAGTTTGCAGAACTGTGAGAAACTACATTTCTGCTGTGTAAGTCACCCAGTCTGTGGTCCTTTGCTATGGCAGCCTGAGCAAACTAAACATTTATTACTAGAGGCCCGATGCACAAAATTCATGCAAGGGGCTCAGCCCTCGCAGCCGCAGTGGCTGCCTCGGCTCTCACAGCTTGGGCTTCGTCCAGAAGGTCATCCGGAAGGTCATCCGGAAGGTCATCTGCTGTTCGGCCATCAGGTTTAATTAGCATATGATGCTTTTATTATTAGAGATAACCAAGGGAAAAACAATCCCCAATGTAAAGGGAGCCCTTGCTCTCATGAGCTATACTGAAACACTGGAGCAACTTGGAACATATATAACCCCTATGCAAACCACACTATTACATAACCATCTCTATCTCAAAATTACACAGCTTCTCTACTAAATTATCTTAAATTATACACTGTATTATTAATTATAATTAGGAAGTGCTGCCTTAAGCCTACTGAGTTCTCCAGCATTGGAAATGTTCTAACAATGACTAGATATCCATTTTATGGAGGTGGCATAACTAGAACTTGAGCATTTGTTGGTTGGATGGAGTTAGAGATTGTAAAGATACCTTCCAACCATAAAATGTATTAGAGTCGCTAGCTTCTATAGTGCAAAATTAATTCCCCAATTAATTTAGTTTTTGTTGGGTTACTGACCCAAATTAGAATGCTTTCATTCTACTTCAATTCAATTTCAGGATCAATGATTTCTAATTTTAACAACATATGGCATCCTCACTTGTCACATTACCCAGACTTCAAAGACATCTTCATTTTTTGGAGCCTTAAGTCAGGCTAAAGGCAAAGTTACTTAAATAAAAACAATCAAATGAATAAAACAAAGAAAAGCACCTAATGCTATAAGCAATCATCTATCTTTTAAAGCAGTGGTTCTCAAAATTCTGGCCCTTTAAATACAGTTCTTCATGTTGTGACCCCCAACCATAAAATTATTTTCGTTGCTACTTAATAACTGTAATTTTGCTACTGTTATGAATCGTAATGTAAATATCTGATAGGCAGGATGGTCTTAGGCGACCCACAGGTTGAGAACTACTGATTTAATGCAAGGAACTGTACTGACCAATTTGTAAATGAGAAAATGCCAAAGCTGTTTCTAAAGTTATTGTCAATTCATTTTTTTAAAGAATAAATATACTTTACTATAATGTATTCCTGTTTATAAGGATTTTTAAAAAGTTATATTGTGATTAAAACTATATCCTTAACAAATCTTAAAAGCATGATACTTTGATGTCTACTCTGCATTCCAGAATTAGCATTTTTCCATGATTAACAGCAGGAAAACCTTTCCTAACATCTGGGAATGAGCCCTGGTCTCCCACGGAAACAGAGCTGAATGCCGCATGTAAATGAGACGATGGAAAGTCCCTTTATGGAAATATTTTGCTTCCAAGAGCAAATGCCTAACTATCCTAAAATTAAGTTATTAATGTTGTCAGTATAAACCACTTTAAACAGTATAAACCACAGTAAAAACAGTATAAACCATTTCTCCATTTTCCATCAATGTCTTACTAAGAAACCTTCCATATATTGTTTTATCTCATTTTTATTGGCACATTGATCTGCCTCCCCCCCCCTTCCCCCCGTGTCTCCTCCCAGGCATCTAATTCCTCAAGAAATATCCCAAATAATTACTTTTAAGTGTTCAAGTTCTAAAAATCAAGCCCACATTATTACAACAAGATCATGAGGATACAGAAATGTTCTTACTTTTCCAACAGTGCTCATCCTGCCTTCCCCCTGGTTCTGTATTTCAGTCAACAGACTGTTTCTCACTGATGTTTGGCTCACTCTGCTGTAAATAACAGCATCTTGTACCCTCGGATAAATAGTCCAGCTCAAATCCACCTGCAGCAATATGACTCACGAAAACTTTCCAAAGGTCCATGCAGCCCCACCCTTTGCAGAGCAAGTCATGAAAATAAATACAGTGACTTTTGAGCAAACCAACACTAGGGATCTAACAAAGATAGAATAATCCAACCTATTGAGAAGGGTTATTGTTATCTGGAGGTATTGTTATCTGCCTTAGAGTTAGGGATTTAGACACAGGTCAGGTTAGTGAATTCAACACAGTTCAGTAAAAATACATTCTGAATACGTTCAGCTGCTCTGCCCGGTTTCAGGATGTGTGTGAATATTTGTATTTGTGCTCTACTTCATTCTGCAAAGACTTGATGTAGTTTGTGGAAAGCCTATAATTAAACATAAATGGCAATAGGGCCATAGAGATGTAATCAAATCAGAATAGAAGGTATAGGTTGGGAAGGAGAGTCGGGGGTACATAGAGCTTAGTTATGGACAACAGTAGTTTCTAGGTGTTTGGGGGATAGAAAGAAAAGTGAAGCTTGTTGCCCCTAAATGTGGTCCAAATTACTATCTGGACCCAAATCCCCATTATACACAGAGCTGTCTCATTTGGTTGTGTAGTTTGGGCCTGGCACACGGGTGCACTGTGCAGGGCAGAAGGCAAACTGAAACGCAGCCTGCACGCTGGCTCTCAGAGGTCAAAGGGCTTCCACCTACGTGGGCAAGTGCTTAACCTCCTGAAGTAGCTGTTTAACCGCTTCACACGCTACTTCTTCATATAAGATGCAATGACACTGAAATGTACAGAATGCATTGCTGCGAGAGTGTCCAAGACAGATTTTATTAATCATAGTATTGGGGACACACTGGCACATTCACCTCCAAGTAAATTAATTCTACACAAGGGAGATTTTACTCTTGTGGACTGAAAGGGCAGGAGAGTTTTTCTAAGTCTTTAGACAAAGATGTTTAGACTCTAAAGTCCCTTTCAGGTAACAGCTATACACAAAACTTTATTTTGAAAAATTATTATAAGCTTTACCACAGAGACCGCTCTCAATGTATTATATTAAGTATTATAGACACGATTTAAAATATATTTACGTCTAATTCAGAACCAGCCATTAGGATTAGCCCTGTAGCCAAATTAGAACCAACAGGTAAAATAAAAGCACTACCAGGCGATGAGGCTTGAGTGTGAGCCATTGTTTTAGCTGCAAAGGCTGAGAAACCAGGCCCACCTTGCAGGCATCATCAAAGTGCAGCAGGTGTGGACACACAAGTATTCTGAGGCTCAGCCTTCAAACCAAAGAAACCAAACCTTACCTCAGCAACGGAAAGTTGTTTACTTATGAACAAAGGCAAAAAAGAGCACCAGCCTGGGAAGTGCCAGCACAAATACAAAAATACTCATTTGGTAAACTCCCTCCCTCTTGAGGCCCCGGCACAACCTTATAGCACATTAATCTAAAAAACATATTTTACCGAAAGTAGGGGTGTTGAGTGAGGTTTAACATCTGTGTAAGCTTTATGGTCCTACTCCCTTCTCCAGAAGAACTGATTGGATGATAACATGTCAAAAGCTGCAACGTGGAAGGTAACCTATTTAAAAAGTTCACAGTCATGCTGGATCACACAGCACATCCGTCCTAATCTTAGGTTTGGAGGAGTTGCCAGCTGAATGTCTCTTGCAAACCTTTCCACAGTGTTTCTATGAAATTCTGGGGCCCAATCTCTCAGGTTCCTAAATCTCCTCCTAGTAAACGCTGTGAGCCTGGTGCCACTTCAGGAGCCTCCAAAGACATGTGCGAATCTCCAAATACCCACGAACTCTAATGTGCCCAGGACAGAACGCACAGGAGGGGCTTTGAGAATGAGCTGCCGGAGTGAGGGCTCCGGTGGCAGACACACCTGCCTCAGGACCTGGGGCCTCGTGGGAATACGCACAACCTCGGCTACCACACTGGTTAAATGGGAATAATAATCAATGCGTTACACGCCTGTCCTGGGGGTCAGTGGTGAGGATGGTAAAGCACTTCCTGTACTCCCTGGATCAAAAAAGTAGCAAACAGCATTATTATTAACTAGGTTCCCATTGGCAACCAAAGGTTCAGATTTATTTATTTTTATCCTATATCTCCTCAGGACAAAATAGCACTATTGAGTGTCTATCACATCCTAAGAACTTCAATTTTAGGTCACAGCATTAAGAGCTCCTGGTTTTAGTCCCATAAGCTCTCTTTGAAATGACCCACAAAGGTTCAGATTTTTAAATATTTAAAATGCAACCACTTGGGACAAAATGACCTGGAGTCCAGGCTCAAAAATAAACTGTTTTGCAGAAATCAACTGTGCAGTCCCAGAACCTCCCCTAAACGCTTGGGGCTAAGACTCCCCTGCCCTGCAGGTGCCTCCAGAAATTCAGGTGGAGCCAAGGGGCACAGTATGATCCACACGTGTGTTTGCCCAGGACCAAGGGGGTCCCAGGACGCAGGAAGTCGGGGCTTAACCCAGGAGAGTCCCAGGCAATGGGGACTGTCACCCTGTGCACACTCGGCACCACCTCGCGTCCCTGAGTGTGTGCGCTCCACGGGGTCCTGTCCGCCTCAGAGCGTCAGCCCTCCTCTCACAGCCCTGACCCTTCACCCTCAGTGACAGCTTCTGTCATGGACCCCGACCAGGACTCTGCTCACCCCAGGCCCAGAGGACAGCAGGGAGGACAGGGTCACTGCACTCAGGAGAACTGGGTGAAATATCTGCTCCAGCCGCGACTGCTAAGTGCCGGGGCAACACACTCAATGCTCTGAGCGTCCGGGGCGAGGAATCCACACCTGCTCCGAGGCTGTGGAGCCTCAGTGCGGCCGTGTGTGTGGAAGTGCTCATCACGCCGTCAAACACTCAGAAAATGACAATAAGGATAACGCTGGGACCGAGCCAGTAAGAAAAGGGCCTTGGCGTGCACAGGGAAAGGACCCTGGTTTGTTGCTGAATCATTCTTAATAGCAGAAACAGCTAAGCAACTGTAACACTGAGCAGCACGCAACTGCTAGTCACCTGGGATCACCATGAGCGCAAACAATGTTTGCTCAGCCAACGCCAAACATTCAGGGTGAGGCTTCATCCTGGCCTTTGTTCCTCAGGTTTCCTCTCCAGCAGGCAGCTCAGGCGGTGGCAGGCTGGGGCCCGCTTTGACCCTTGACTCTGCCAAGCCCTGTGAGGGGCCTGGCTGGAAAGAGGGGCGGGTGGGGTTCCCGCAGCTCTGCCCTCACAGGAGAGGATTTGGCTAATCCTTTCAGGACGCTGTGCCAGCTCGCAGAACTGCTGTGTGGGATGGTGCTGGGCAGGCTCAGAAAACCCTCTTCTGGGACACCTGCCCGGAAAGATGCACGGATTTCATAATGGGGGGCTCCGCCTCTGCTCCCCCGAACTCCCATCCTCTCAGCTCTCCCACTGAGTGCGGCTGGGGCGCTCCCATCCAAGGAGACCAGGAATCCTGGGCAAATATGAACCCCAGTTGTCAGTTCCCCTCATGACCTCCCTTAAAAAGAAGTCCACGGAGGAATCCGTGTGCCAGGAATCTGGCTGAGAACGAGAGGAAAATGGGTCAGGACACCAGGGCCCGGCCACTCTTCACCACAGGGAGGGGCAGGGGCTGGTCCTGGCAGAGAAGCTCAGCCACAGACATCCCAGCAGCGGGAGGGCAGCCTGGCAAGAGCTGGAGGCAGAGGCCTGGGAGGCAGGCAGGCTCCGGAGGGCACTGCGTGCGCAGCTAGTTCAGCGATGTGTCCTCTGTTGGCATCCATTTCCAGGGCTCCCGCAGGCTTCTCCGTAAACATGGAGCAGGGCTCCAGAACGCCAGCTCCAGAAGTGGCTGCAGAAGAGTCCCCCGCAGAGTCCCCCGCGGAGCCAGCGGGAACGGGGAGCCCGCAGAGGTCCCAGGTCTGCAGAGGTGGGCTCAGGGCAGGCCTGTGAGGGGCCCACCGCCCCCACACCATCCCAGCTCCCGGGGCCCGGCCGCCACCTGTTCTGTATAAGCCTCTGGGAAGAAGGGCCCCTGTGGGAGGGGGAACTGCCGTGTGTTTCCACAGAAGTAGAAACATGAGTGAACTCTTAAGACTATTTGGTCTCAGTCTAAAGAAGAATTTTCCAGTGTTAAATGGGTTAACTTAAAAAGTTTTTGAGCTGCTTATCACTAAAAGGGCAGAACCACCCGCAGGTAAGAGTGCAGGGCAAACTCCTGCCTTGCTGGGGAGGGGAGAACAGCCTTAGTATCATCTCAGACCGGAGCATGAGAACTGATCATGGGAAATGTGGGCGCCAGCAAAGACAGCATATGCCTGGGCTTGAGCCTGGGGAGGGCACTGTGAATTCCTTCCTTTGCTCCATGCACTGCTGTGTCTGCTCTAAAATGGGAAGCCAAGCTGGGCCCACATATCTCAGCAGGTAAAGTGCAGAGTCCGTGGGTCTGTCTTCTAAAACAATCATGTAACGTTAACCTTGAAACGTAGGCATGTTTGCAAGGACAGGTGAGGAAAGTGAAAGAGGGGAAGATAAGAAAGAAACAAACTTCACTGTATAAGAACCACCACACTCTAACTTCCCAGCCGTTTCTTCCACCTTCCTGAGCCTTGAAAGCGTCTCCGGGTGCAATGGGAATGCTGCTGTCACAGTGAGTCAGCTGTTTCTGTGGGTGCTGCCCCACTAGCGCCCAATGGTGTGTTACATTACCTTGAGGTGGGTAGGGAGCAGATCCAGGAGAACGCTGAGTCCCAGCTACATGGGATTCTGAAATATGATGAGGTTGTCTTGGGTCTAGAAATGTCTCTGCTTTGCAAGTTCAAGAACTTAATTTTATGAGTATGCCCAAGTTTGCGTGGATCCTGAAGGCTGATTCACGTGAATCACACTCATGAAATTATGAAAAACTAGATACCAATTTATTAATTTATAATTCATAATGTATTAATTCATAATGCCTGGCACTATAACTTTGAACAGATTCTGCAAAAGGAACA